GTGGAAATGTGTGCGATGTGTGCGGTTCTTTCATTGCTGTGACTACAGTAGGTTCTTGTTTATGCTTCCGGTTACAGGTTTACTGGGACAGACCCAAGATATAACTGGAACATGTTATATTTGTTCAAGCGAGTTGAACACCACCAAATCTTGTGAAATACTATGACTTTTGGTCTTGGTCTTCACCAGTGGGGGGCAGACACTGGACATGGCCTGAACGAGCTGAGCGAGCCAAACAACAGGAGCGGCTGAGCGAAGCACCCTGGAGCGAGCCGAAGCTCTTGTCGTTGCAGTACCGGATGCACGAGGTGACCGCTTGGGGGGCACGATCCCTCCAAGGCTGTGGGCTTACCAATTTTTGTCAAGGCACCTAAGGGTATATGCTTTAAACACAACAACTACTTTTGAGCCAAGTTTGGGGGTGGCAAAGGGCTTTGAAAGTTCTTCAATGCATTCTTTGGGGGGAGGGGGAAGAGGTTTGTTTTTGTGTCCAATTTTGCGAGAATACAGTGATGTGCAAGGTCGGGAAGTTGGGATTCCAAAGGTCCGTTGAGAAGCACTTGGAAACACAGTATCGTCCGTTTAGGGGAGATCCAAATGTTCCTTTTGACTGCTGATTCGCTTGATTCGCATAGGGAATGGTAGCGAACAACGGACACCATCTCGTAAACAGGCTCGATAGTCGCTTGCCACTTGCCTTAGCTGGCGATGCCGGGGTTGAGCCGGTAAGGTCTCTTGAAACCATGGCTGTTTGCCACCGATGCTTTTTGCGACCGATGATTTCACGTTGGACCTCGCACACTCTATGCTGGAGCTGGCGTCTGGCACGCCGTAGGACCTGAATGCCTTCCCTGCGGCGTACTTCTATGGTGGTCGCGTGCGTACAGACACACAGCAGCAGTGGTGTACTGTGGGACAAGCTGCAAGTTCCAACCAGGCGTCGACGGGAAGTCTCAACATGACATGGCCGACTTACTTGGCGGCGGGTAGCAAGCCTAGTTGAGGAGGCAGGGCAATATGGCGGGCTGTGTTTGGAGATGTTTGAGAACCCTAGCAGCTACCAGACATTTGGAAACCCTGCTAGACAGTCTCAACATGGCCTAGCGGGTTGGTATCCTGGACGGGTTCAGGGAGACACCATGACTGCCCTGCACGCACACAGGACATGTTCATGACACCTGGATTGGTCTGAAAGTGCCTTCCGACCCATTGGAAACATAGGAGGTATGATATGTTCAACGAACGGCAAACTCCATAGAACCATCAAACCAGTCCATAGCACTATAGTCACTATATCATAATTTGGTGTTACTCAAAGAGATCTGATACAACTATAGTCACTATAGTCGCTTCAGTCAGGACATGTTTTTGATGAAGGAAGCAAATGGTCGTTCTCCTGTTGTGTCCAAGAGCAGTTCCACCCAGTGGATGTGGCACCAAAAGGTCACCAGCCCGAACTCGACCACTCCATGGAACTCCTGGTATATACTGTAAGTATTGCTTGTGTTGAACTAATTCCATGTTATACCTATAACATATTATATGCATCACCCTTTGGTGGTTTGAAACGCTAATCAATCAACTCTATCTCTCTCTCTCTCTCTCTCTTTGCATGTGTATATTTATATATACATAGAGAGATGTACTGTATTATTTATGTAAACACATGTATTATCATCGTGCTGATGATATGTGTATATATATAGTCGATATTTGGTTTAAACTATAAGTTGCCACAGTATGTGTTCCTTTCCAGCGAGCTCGCTTTGATCCGAGGACCCCGGCATCTTGGCTCGGGCTCCTGGACGCTTGGCGCATCCTGGACGGCCCTCCAAGCCGGAAGCCTTGCTCTTTTGGTCCTCGCCTTCGGCACCGGAGCAGCTGCTGAGCTCGAAACAGGGCTGGGTGGAGGGTGGATGCGCTGCCTGGCTGGTTTTGGAAAGCAGAAATCGGTGAAGAGTGAAGACTGAAGAGGTCAATGAGATGAACTTGATCTGACAACTGGAGTTCAAAGGAGTCTCAAAAATGTACGTGGCATGAGAAGCGTGAGATGCTATCAAAAAACACAGGTAGAATGTGTTCTGGAGGCATGAAGGCATGGCTGGACTTAGTGTTTAACACTCTTAGCTGTAGGAGCTTTGACTGGACCCATGGACCCCCACTGCGGCGTTCATCCATCCACCTGGGAACCCTCAGTCCTGTAGACTCATCGGTGTCCCGAAGAGCGGATTTCGGAGCTTCCAATGGGTACTACAGTCTCTACCCATCCGGGCTCCTGGCCCCGTCCTTTTCGGTTCGATGGTCATGGTGGGTGGTGCCAGGGGGGTGTCCCCACCGAACCTGAGGATATGGTACCCCCTTTGAAGATGAACATGGCCCCTGAAAACCACTGGTTGGCGGAGAAGAGTCTTCCAGAGGGCCATTGGCAGGGTTCATGTTAGTTTTTGGGGAGGGTATTTGTTTAACTTGCACTAACTACATATTCCTGTGACACATGCTTCACAAATTGGGCCTGATCCTTGTGGATTCCTCCCCCATCGTATGGGTCTTGACCCCTGAAGCCTTGAAGGGTCCACCAAATCGGTGCATGTATGATTTTGTTCCATATGGCAGGTCCCACTTTGGATCCCCAAAAGGAATTCGCTTCGTTTGGACCGTCGGGTTCCGAGTCATGAATGAGCCTTCAGTCGACGCGTGATGGACTCCCGACACGACAAGACGGACTGGCATATAGACCTACATTCGGGTGGTTGCCCTATAGGGATCCAAGAACCTTTTCAGGCAATTCAGGTGATGTGTTCGACACTGTGATGTATAGGTGCTAGGAGGGTCCAGCCGTACCTTCTTGGAATGTATGTGGATCCGGGTTGGTTTGGGTCAATGGGACTGGCATCTCTTCCAGTCCTAGGTCCTGGGGCGTGGGTCGTTGTGCTTCCGAGGATCTCGCAAGTGCGGACGGCCTCCAGCAGTGCGAAGAGTCGCTTCAATCCGGCAGAGGCCTGGTCTCCGGGTGATCACGGCTTCGATCAGAAGACGACGCCCCACGCAGGTGCCAGTGCTGTGATTCTGAATGGGAACATGCCCGGCATGCCCGGCCCCATGTGAATGGGAACCAACCCTATGGGCTTCAAAGATCTTGAGAGGAAGCTACTCAGAGCTTTTTAGACCCTCTGAACCCATTCCAAGCAGCTGAAATGGAGGTCTGACCGGAGTCCCAAACAGCCAAGACAGGTGGACCTAGCCGGACGCATCGACCAAGCCTGCTCGGTTCGGAGGTCGCCTGTTGGGAGGTGTTTGTTTCGAGTTCACCACACTGCATGGAGTTGAGCTCGACCTGTTTAGGTCACGATCGGTTGATTGGTTTAGTGCTGGACACCCCATGTCTTTTGTTTCTCCGGATCGATGAAGCATGCCTGACCTATTGGCAAGTTCGTTCGGGCCGCTCCAGCGGACCTTCTCACCAAACCCCAAAAAATTGGTGAGAAGGTCCTCCAAACGCGACAAGTTCAAAAGCCTGGAAGGTCTCAGGGCTCGGACCTCGCACCAGGCAGTACGTGCCGCTGAGTTGGCCAAGGCCTTGGCTGCGAAGGTGGGCGGCCAGCGCGTGACTTGGAGCGAAGGGGTGTTGCGCTTTCTTTCTGGAGAAGGTGGGAGAAGGAAAAGACCCAGAGCGAACATGAGTACGTCATGAGTACCTACAAGTAGCTGGTTGTTTAGGGGCAGGGGCCATGTTCCATTTCTAGGGTGAGTCATGTAATGATTATGATTGCAAATATTGTTCATGATACTTTCTGGATAGATGCCGTACGCCCTTTTCCCAGAATGGTCCCATTTCTGAGGAAACCAAGATCATAGTTGTTCATTTGTTCCTGTTGCGATGTAAAATCCACCTGACAGCAGTTGGGGTCTATCGCTGCATGGAACAAATTGGAACCAACTGTCAAACCCAAAAGCACTGAAACTCTTGGGTATTCCCCTACATTGGTCACCCCCACGGCAGAAGCATTTGCAACGCAAATCTACACAAGGTTCCGCACCCCTACAGGTGCTTCAAGGCTGCCCAGCTGCTTCAAGGCTACCCAGCTTCTTCACTGGATGAGTCCATGTTATGCCCCGCTTTGAGCAGTGGAGTCTTCAGGTTGCAATCCTCACCTGGTACAACGCCCAAGCCGCTTGGGGCCTGTGCATGCTGGGCATGTGGCTTCTGAGTTCTGAAAATCACCACGGGTGCGCAAAAATAAACCCTTGAATCACGGAGCCTCAAGAAGAAAAAACACCAGAAGCAAAATTGGATGAAAACTAGGATTCCTCCCAATCGCTGCAGTGGTGTGGGAGAACTCTCCCTTATAGTTCAGTCCTGGCGAACTCCCCCTTAAAAGGATGGTTCATTAAAGAGGCTGTGGAATCGGGAGTGAGAGGAGCGAGACATGAACAGCGGGGAGGCTGTGGATGCGAGTGTTTGGGAGAGGAGAGAGTAAAGCTAAGCTAACTAAGCTGAGTAAGTATGATCAAGTGAGCAACACGACATGGAAGATCTCCATGGAAAGTTCGACAAGAAGGAGGTTCTCATGAGGAGGGCCTCACCGTATACTGTAGCTGCTTGGGGTTTTGGCTCCAACTGCTTTGGAAGGTGTGTCAGCGTGTGTTGGGCAGGTATGTAACATGTAACCAAAGTATCCCGACGTCGGGATTGACGCCTGAGCGTGGAGGAGAACCTCCCGATCCGAGACATGGGCCTAATATCTCTTGGCAGAAAAAATCACTTCTGAAAACGGCGCTCAAGATGAAACAAGTAATAGGTGCCTGGTGTATGATGTGTATGGAACTCAATGAATGCTGTACAGTAGAACAGCTCTAGGCATTGAATCTCTAAATGTATGGTTGAATGGAATGTTTTTTGGAATCAACAATTTAGCAAGGTCGCTCACTTCCACTTCAGGTGGCCGATGCAATCAAACAAACAGTTGCTGTGTTCACAAACAGCGACTCCTTGACCCTCAAAAGATCTCAAAAGAAGCGCCACCAACTGGCAACAACTCGCATTGATGCATCAGAAAACGGCCATTCTTGAAGACTTGCAAACCTTCGGAATTTATAATTGCAAAGTACCACCAGTCATCCTATGCATATATGTAATGTAATCTATATATATATGTATTATTTGTTGGAATAGAAAACACACAGACTGAAAAAAAGGTACCTCTGTGAATTGCAGTGGTTGGATCCATACCCATATGCACAAGAGACTGGCTCCATGTCTCTTCCGCCGCTCGTTGAGGTTCAGCAGCTCAATGAAATTCTCGAAGGCACTGGAGTGACCTGTCACGGAAAAGCTGCTTGGGCCAGGGTTGGTAGCCGGGTCTCTGACGAAAGTGGTGCAAGCTTCAAGCTTTTCAGGTGGATTACAGGAGTGAGACCATGCATGGAAACCACAATGGTCTAGGTCTACCAGCTTGGCGAGCTGACTACCTCTCTGTAGGCAGCCGAAGAGGGAAGTGGATGCGTTGACCTAGGAAGAGGTGTAGAATGCTGTAGACAGCCTCATCCGCAAGCTGCGCATGCACATGGGAGGAAGGTGTTTTTTCTTTTGACCAAGCTGCGAGAAACCCAGCAATTACACACACGGAGGTAGCTTTGTTTTCTTTTTTACCCTCGGCCTTATTTGACATACCCAACAGATCGAACATCCAAATATACACAATTGTACAGGTATACATTAGGACTCAGGACCATTTTCGGCTTCTTTATTTGATGTTTCGGTCAGAATGGATGTGCCCTGCGGGAACTATTTCTAAATCTAGAGGAACTATATCATTCTTCTGTGAGAACTATATCAGATTCTGTGAGAACTATATCAGATTCTATCATTCTAAACTCGTATAGATTCAATCAAGTTCTAACAACCATCATCAAAGCCAAAACACAGGATCTCACTGGGAGAACCTCTCCATCCATTCCCGCTTGTTTTTTTTTGTCCGTTCTGCTTTAGGGATGCTTCCTCTAAAGCTCAGCCCGTGCTTCGCCATGCGCTTTCGCGTCCTTTGCGAGGTCTACGTCGGCGGCGTCGTGAGCTCGCAGGGCAACGAGCCGAGGGCTGAAGGGTTCCGCTCGGCGTAGGGCGACGAATGGGAGGTCCAAGTAGCCTAAGGCCACATTCCCTAAGGATCCAAGTAGCCGTCAGGGAGAAGGTGGGACTGGGGTGGGTGGGGTCCAAGTACCTGTGGCACTTGGATCCCGGATTTGTGGGTGTATAAGGGAATCCCCGTGGTTCGGGGCAGACGGGTCGATTTCCTTGCGGGGGGTCGGGTTACGCCTTGGAGGGAGACCCCTTTTCTAATAGACACTCACATGTGCTAGATCAGTTGCATGTTGCTAGGTTGTTTTTTTGGGGGGACTGTTGTGTGCTTATGATATAATTAGATTGTGTTTGTTTTTTCCCTTTATGGTGTTCCATTTGGGAAGCTATAGAATCTGCAAGAATATGTTGTTCTTTGCTGATCATGCGGGGCATCTATAGATCAAACGAGAAAAGAACAGGATCAACAAAAAGAACGGGATCTAAAAGCATCCTGAGTAGGTCCCCTTCTCCGTCCCTGCTCCTTTCGTCTCCTAGTCCTTTGGTCCCTGCGTCACTGAGAACACTTCATGGATGAGGCACTGGGGTGTATCTGCACTACTTTGGCCAATTTCCGCTGGGCCTGGCACGGCAGATTTGTGAAGGTCACCCATTGAATATCCACACAAACAAGTGCACAAGCTCGCCTAAGTCTTTGTGAGTTTGTGTTTAAGCATCCGTTCATTGTCCTCTGGTCGCCCGCCCTGCTTTTGTTGTCCTTTCCCTAGTTGTTTTCCACTGTTCACTGGGAACTTTTGCTTGTTGAAGGGGGTCCTGATTGACACATCCAACTTGATGCAGTTCTTAAAGGCTGCATCCTTCTTGGAGTCCCAGCAACACATCTTCCCAGTTCAACCTACTGGCGCGTAATTATATACTATACATATATACACATAATATACCAAAATGAATCCAAATTATGTAGATCAAAGTCGAAGTTCATGATTGTGTTTTTGCTGGACAAGGCCAGCACATCGCGAGTGCCGAGGAATGGGACTATGTGCTTCTGAGCACGGTGCGAAGCACGCCTGGCGGCCTGGGGGCCCTAGAGGACGAGCATCTCTTGGACGTGGCACTCACGCGAGCTCGCCTAGGCCCGCGACGGGGTCGGATCCGCAGGGTGTGGAACGGGCGAAGCGCTCGAGGTTTTTGGGAGGGCAGGCAGGACGTGGTTGAGGATCTTTTGGAGGAATCAAGTGGGAGTTCATTGAGGAATGATAGTATGTATAGTATGAGCATTCAAATTCCCAATTGGATTTGTTTGTGTTCTATTTACTCCTATATAACATTAGTAAACGTTTGTATTTTTGTATAGTAGGACGGCCAATGTTTAAAGCTCCAAAGACTTTCTCGGAAGATGGATCTTTAAGGGGAACAACTCGATGGTCGAAGTTGCATGAGAAAACCTAAGAGGCTTCCAATACATCATTGAAAGATCGTTTTTCACCGATTCCAAGATGTATGCATGCTGCATGTTCATTGATATTCAGTCAAAGGACAAAGATTGTCCATCAACCGCAGTCTTGGAGACTAAAGCTTGAGCCACAGTTCCCCCGATCGCCAGGCATGTGCGTGCTGGGCACCAGCGAAACCCTGCGGCGCATCACCGCTTGGTCCTGCTTCCTGGACCATTGCGAGGCCAAGCAGCTGGTCCTTTGGCTTAAGGACCTGCTAACCCCGGACCTAACCCGTGCGCCTTCGGCTTAAGTGCCGTGAACATCTTTTGCAGGGCGTCGATGGTGCTCGGATCGGCACACAAGGCGTTGGTGTGCAAGAAATGGCAGGTGGCATGTTCGGGTTAGCATGGTTAATGCTGTTCTAGAGGTTTACAGCTTACAGTAATGTCCTTGTGTTTCAAAGACACTAAAACAGGTGATTGTTGGCATGGTTTGTGTTCGTGTTTTTCTTGTTCAGATCATCCAACCATCTACCGGTCCAGTCCCACTACCACCGGGTGCTTCAAGGTCGGGTCCAGTCTGGTGCGGCCAAGGTCACTGGCTCGCAACCTGTGGTTCTTGGAGGCGATCTGAGGCATGGAGTGGGGGTGGAGTCCCCTACAATCATGGTCAAAGCAGCACAAAGCATCCCTGGCACCCCATCTGGATGGAGGTCGGATTCTTTTCGGTGCGCGTTTTTGGTGCTTGAAGCTGCAAAAAGGATCAGTCATGAGTCTGCAGTCACTGATCGTAAATAGGAATGCCTCCAGGAGAATTGTCCAACAGATGCATGCCCACCGCTTCACCGACTTGCCCTTCCTCCTCGATATGATATGATCAATTTTATGTCAAAGAAACCATCCCTGACAGACACCGGAATGAGAACCCGTTTCTGCTGGCGACTCCAAGTTTGTTATGTTTTTTTTTTTGCAACCTATAATTGACGTATACCAACAATCCATGAAAGATATACAACCTACATTGAGCCCTAAAATAGTTCAAAACCACCCTAATGCCATGCCATATATACATGGACTATTTGTTAATATGTGTTTTAGAGTCTAGAGCATTTTAACTGAATCTATGAAATCTATGAGATGATACTCTCACTGAGCTGCAGGTGAAGGCTGCAGAGCGAGTTTCTTGACCATTCTGGCTGCGCTGTACATCAATGCGCTTCTGGACCTTTTGTGCAAGGCTGTGATTTCCATGAAACCGAAGACTGTATTATAGGCGTTCTTGTCTTTGAAACCCGTTTCAATATATGTAAAAAAACACGTGTTTGCGCCTTAAAGAGACCAACTCATCAATATCTGGAAGTCCTTTTTTTTCGTCGCTCAACGGGGTTCCTCCAAGTGCTTCACCAAACGCAGAAGTTTCTCGTCGCCCCGGAGGCGCTGATGCCGGATCTCCCGAGGGCGTCCAGGGTCGAAAGGCGTCACCAACGTCCTCATGGCTGTGGTTCAACGGGTCCATATCGGAGACTCCGCTACCAAGACTTAGGACATCATAAACATGCATCAACGCCGGACTGGGTGTGAATTCAGTGCAGCGAAATCGGTGGCGATTCCGATGGTTGCGACTCTGGCAGCCTGTGTTTTCCATGCATTTTCCGTGCCGGAGTCCTTGGGTCTGAAGATGGAACAACTTTGGACGTGTGGAGTGTACCAACCCAGTTTCTCGCAGCTCAAGTTGATGCTGAGAATCAGACGGATGAAGGTAGAGGGTGCACAAGTCAGGCTTTCTGGGCGGGTAGGTATCCATCAAACGTTTGCGATCGTGTTTGTCGCACCAGTTCTTGAGCCTACTGACTCTTGACCAACCGGAAGATTCCAACTGCAACAGGGCGCAAAACTGACTCAGCTGTTCGGAGTGACTGGTGTTTCACCAACCTTCATAGACTGAACTCCGGACCCAAGGACGCCCCATGTCGGCACGCCCCCGACCCAATCAGCGATCCGTTCGGTGCACCCGAGGGCGCGGCCCCACCGCGCATCGGCGGTTCGCGTGCGGTGCCTGGAAAGCCCCAAAAAGGAAGGAGCCAAGGAAGGGGAGCTGCGGAGTGAAACGATGTATTCGAGGTTCTTAGCAAGCACGTTCCTCATGTTTTTACAGAGAAGGAAGGAACCATCAAGTTGGAATTGGTCCACAATCGAAAGCTTCTACTAGGACCATCCAATTGCTTTTGTCCCTATGGTAGCCCACACTACTTGCATAGGGATCTCCACTGAACACCAGAGCTTTCCGGCTCTTCCCAGTACGATGGATGATCATTGGTGAGCTGATGAAGGGGGTTTCCTTGAAAAAAAACCAGTCTCCGGAAAGATCTTGGAACCAAATGCTTGCGCCGAAGCGAACAGCCTTGCTTCTGAAAGCTTCCTCTCTTGGGACCAGGTCTTCAAGATGATCTTCTTGGCCGGGAATACTTTCGGTTCCCAATTCAACGGCACCTGCATGGAGGGTTCAAAGGGATTCGTTGTGCAAACTGCTGGTACCGACCCATCCGGACTTGTGAGGACAAGTAGAACTTTCCAATTCTGCGATGTTTCTTCATACCAATGTCCCACTCTTTCTCCACGTTTCTCCACTTCTGCACCTCTTCTGCGAAACTCTGATCTCCCTTCCCCCACGTCTCCTCGTCCCCTGTGTCTTTTCCACCACCACCTCGACTGGCAGAGACGACCGTCGGCCTCCGCCTCTCGAGAGCCAGGTGGCGGGTGAAACCGAAGATCTCAAATGCGAGATCTCTCCCTTGGTCTCCTATGACGGAGAGGCCGGCTGGGTGGCGCATGAGCCAGGTACCTTTGGTACCTGATGAGGGGCGCATGAGCTGGGCACGTGGCTGGGAGGGTTCGTGGTTCTAAGCGAATCCGCCAGGTTCTTCTGTTGACGGTTGATGAATTAAGATCTCCCATAGGATCTCACTATATGTATTTCACAATCAGGAGTCAACACAGGGTAGAACACTACCAATTGCTGTATTACTTATATTGTATTCATCGATTTTTCAGTTGAGAAAACAATGACAATGCACTGCTCTGATTTCGACGACCATGCAGACAGAGCATAGTGCCCGTGCTTGATTGGAAGGAGCTTAATTGTGTTGTGCAGCCATGCTTCAGGCGGCTTGATGTTCCGTAGAAGTAAGCCTCCTGAAGGTGAGTTTCAATGCTTACTGACTAATTATGTTTGCAACAGAACCTATAGAGAGTTGCCACATCGACCGCTGACCGCCGTGCGTGGGCCGAGGACTTGCTGGGCCAATTCCCGAAGCCGTTGTCACTTCCCTTCTACCTGCCTTCGCAGATGGAGCGCTCCCCTACGGGTCGAGGGGGAACCGTTTGGGCCGAGGGGGAACCATTTCCTCCGCAGGTCTCCGCCCACGAAAGGGCGGGAGAGCCAGAGGTGGTTAGAGAAAAAAAGCGACCGAAGTAAACCAGTGACCAACTCCGGAGTTGGGTTGGTTGATGGTCGGTCAAATCATGTCAAGCCTCTTCAAGCCTACACGCCCCACGGTGGGCCCCAGTAGAATTGTTTCATTCTATTTGAGTCATGTGACTCAACATGGAGATAACAAAACAATTCTACTATGTCATTATGTCAATGTACTCATCATTTTCTTATGTTGTACGCATTTTCCAGATAGACATGGAGATAGACATGTGACTCCATCCCCAAAGGTTCGGTCTTCTCCTCCGGTGGTCCAAAAGCACTGGTGGCCTTGGTGAAGATATTTTCATTCCGAAAAGACCCCTGAACTAAAGGTGCTGCTTGGAGGCTGAAGTACCAAAAGACTTGTGAGTTCAAAACACCCCAAGGGGTCAAAAGAGTCAAAGGTGCAGTTCAAGCTCTTCATTTTGGACACTGAGAGTTGGATATAGTGTTGAATACCCATGTTCTTCCCATCTCCAAGTGAAGAGTGACTGTCCATGACTGTTGACCGTGCATGTCTTGTGAGGACTGCTCTACGGGTTGCAAGGCTGATGCATTTGATTGGTTAAGTTTTGGTGAAATACATGCAGGGTTACTCTACAGGCTTGAGGGACTGAACCAAGGCTACTACGACTTGTTGATCACTTGTAGGGCCAAGCGAGTGACACCGGTAGTGACGTGACGTCGCCAAGTCGGTGTCTCACCTGTCGACGGTTCTCAGGAGTTCACCGACTTCTCAGCAGCCACGGCTCCTCAGGCCGTTCGACCTGTTTGCCGGATGGATCGTCCATGTCGGAACGCGAAGAACGATGGCTTCGGCAGAGTGTTTTTTGTGGTCACATCAGAGTCGTAGAGTATCATAACACGATAATAGATGTCTAGCTATCTATCTATCTATCTATCTATCTTTTGGAATAATATATATATATTAGTATGTATATCGCTGTCTAAATGTCTAGGTGAGTTGGCTTCAGTGGAGGAATGAAACAGACCCACAAGGTTTCATGCTCAGCCATCTACATCGTTTGAGTTACGATGATGGGTGTATTATTAAATCTTCAAAACGACCTTGCCAATTTCTCACATGGAGCTCAACCATCAGCCCAACAATGCCCATATCCACTGAACATCCCATGAAAGCGCAGCTCCTAAATCTCTCAGAGTGTCTTCCATCTTCTTCCCACAACCCGTCGATCCCGGCAACCACGTTCTCGAGGCACGGAGGCCGTCGACGCACTACTTGGATGAACGCTCTGACATTGCCAGACACGAGCTTGAGGACTGGAGCACTGGAGCCAGAACACAGGGCTTGGAACAAAAACAGTGGGATGGATGGACAGAATGGATCGATCTCGGTGGAAGGGGTGGAAGGGGTGGAACATGCTTTCCGAGCGTTCTTCAAGGGGTCCGGGTATGGTTTCTTCAAGGGGTTCGGGTACGGGAGATGGATGGAAGCGGGAATGGAAGAAAGAGAAAGCAGATGGAGGGTCGATTCTACGCTGGTACGGCCGAGTCGACGCATGTTTGTAGACTGGCCGATTGGCTTGGGGTGGTCCACATGAGTTGCCGACTTCTCGAGTGTTAGTTTATGGGTCCCGTTTTGATGGTTCCACCAGCTGACCAAAGACATGAATGGACTGTATGTTGTAAGAACAGAGTTGTAAAACACCACTGGAAAAAGGACAAGCACAAACTCCTCTTGCAAATCTCCCAGGTTGATTTGTATCAAGTGCATGAAGAAATGACGACCTTGGCAGCTGCTCGCACCTGGAACCCATCCCAGGCAGAACTGCAGGGGCAGCTGGGCACTGTCTTGGAACTGATGGAGGAGAGCAGCTGCTGGTGCTGCTGATGCTATACTGCTAGTCCTGCTTCTACTGCTACTAATCACCCCTGCATTTCCCCATGCCACGTACAATGACAGCGTGATTGCAATGACGTGTTTCATCTGTTTTCCAGCATGTCAGACACGGCAGGCTTTCTGTCTATCTATGACCACCACCAGGAACACCACGGTCACCACAACCATGCATAGTGTTGCCCTGCAGTTGGGTGGTTGGGGAGATGATACTGAGACTTACTCTGCGATGTTTTCTCCGGCTGGGCCTGAGGAGCCATTCTCAACATCCGCCCCAACTCTGACTGCGGAACAGTCCTTGGAAGAACTTCCAGTTGGTACTGGTAGAGCCTGCAAACATGCCACGGCGTGCAGACTGAGGAAAGCTAAGATCTTCCTTCAGCCCCTAGCTGACATGCCAGGACCCCACCAAGTACGATTATGTGGGGGAGCGGGCAGAGGAGGATGAGGTGGGCTGGTGGGGGTCAGGATGAGGTGGGTGGGGCCAGAGGATCTCTTGAAAAGATCCTCAAATTTGACCTTAGCGGTCAGCGGTCTTTCAGTTTTTCACTACTACAGATTGCTCATGTCAGTCATGTGCTTCACAGCTGTGAAGGAGGATGAGGCGAGCTGTTACTGTAGGATCTGAAAAAAGTTGATCAGAGACAATGTTCAGAAAGGCATGCGCCCGCTCAGTTTGCCAGTTTGTGCGTTGTAAGACCTCCCTATAGGTTTTGTTTTCTCTGCTTTAGAATAAAGGTGTGGCATAATTGACGGGGTTTTCGAAGGTTCCGGCATATATTCCATCTGGTCTTGAAAACATGGGCCCTTTTTCAAGTAGAAGGGAACCCACTT